TATTTTAAATGCTTCTTTTTTATTTATATCTGTTCCAATCCCATAAAAATAGCAAATTCCAAGTTTATATTTTCCATTTATAAATTCTTTTTCATTAAATTTCATATAAGTTTCATATGCTTTGCTTTCACTTTTCTCTACACCTATTCCTAATTCATAACATCTACCTATATTAAATAATCCACATAAATTTCCATTGATAGCTGCTTTTTGATACCAATAAAAAGATTTGTATAAATTTTCATCTGTTCCTATGCTGTTTTCATAATAAATACCAAGATTTTGTTGTCCATAAATGCTTTCATTTCCTACGGCTTTTTTCATCCATTTAAATGCGAGATCTTCATTTATCTCGATTCCAAATCCTTCTTTATAACAATTTGCAAGATAAACTTGTGCAATAGGATAATTATCTTCGGAAGCACTTAAAAATAATTTAAATGCTTCATAGTAATTTTTCTCAAAATCAGTGTTACTAAAATACAAAAATCCCAAGAAAAATTTATATTTTGATTTCTCATGATTCTCGTGAAGCCATTCAAAAAGCTCATTTGAAGTTCGATTTGAAAGAAATATACAATGATTAATAAAATGTTCGGTTTCATCGAAATTATTTCCTTCATCTTGTGTTTCAATTAAAAGCTTAATTAACTTACAAATAAGGTTATTTATACAATCATCTTTATCATAAATTTCCAAAAATAACTTTTCTGCTTGATATAAAATATGTTGTGAATTACATTCATTATATATTGATTCTAAATTGCAATCCTGCATTAATTCACTTATAAAGAACTCAGAATTATTACTATGCATACATCTTACATCTCTTGATTCAGCTTTATTTTCTGAATGAATGAAGGAATCAACTTCTTCATCATTTTTTCCAAGCATTATAGTTTGAAACGACTTAAAAATTTGTTGCATAGTAGGACGATCGCTTGGATCGTTTTTCCAGCATGCTTTTAAAATTAATAAATTAAATTAGTTTAGTTAATAATTAGAAATAAATAAATTCCGCGAAAACTCTGCATTTACCTTGATATAAGTTGCTATATTCGATCGGAGTATCCTTGACAATTATTTCTCTTCGGCCTTTTTTAATGTTTATAAGTAAATTTACATCGTATTCTTCACAATTGAAAGGTCTATGTCCACTTGAAATTTGCCAAAGAAGAACTCCAATACTGTATACATCAGACTTTGTATTTAATATATAATGCTGATTTTTATTTTTATTTTTAATATTATTCAAATATTTTGGATCAACATAAGGAACGACACCATATACATCTGTTGAATAACTTGAAGCATCAATAACCGTTCGTGACAAACCAAAGTCTGCTAATTTTATATTATTTTGATGAACAAGTACATTTTGTGCATGTTATAAAAAAAAAATTTATGATTTTTAGTTGTCATGAAAAATCCAAACAAATGTTATTTAATAGATTGTTACATTACCAAATCACAATGAATGATTCCTTCGTTATGCATACATGTTACAGCAGATGTAAGTTGAAAGGCTAATTGATATTTATCACTCCATTCTAGCTTGTCAAAATTTTCTTTTAAATAAGATTGCAATGATCCTCCATTAGCGTATTCCATAACCAACATATATTTGTTTCTTTGATCGATGGAATTCGCTTCTAATAGGGAAATTCCATAAAACTGGGTAATATTTGCATGATAATCAACTTCGCGTTGCATTTTTATTTAAAGTATTTTAAAAATAATTAGATATATTTGTTTTATGATAAAAATAATAAAATATGTGTTGTTGTTGCAACATTTATTTTAGTTTACCTCATTAACGATTTCTTTAATGGTTAAGTTATCTGAATATTTTATGGCCATGATAGTACCGGAATCTCCCCAGCTTGCACGAGAAACGTTTCCATAGGAACAGCTGCTGATCTCGTTCCATATTAGCGAACTTATCGTAATTATAATATTTAATATAGTTGTTTGATATTGCCTTTTCTAACCAACCAAGGTAAACGTTGGATTCATCTAGTTGTCTTTCGGCTGTCATGTTTTAGAAGAGAGGTTTTTAGTTTTTGTGTTCAGTTAAAAAAAAATAAATTCACTCTTCTCTAATCAAAGTAGCAGAATACCATATGTTCAGTAAGTAACAAATAACAAGCGAAACAACTATTTTGAGTGACATAAACATATGCGCTTAATTACCGAGGGTCGTACAAAATGTGAGAAGATTCTTAACGGCGCAGTAATGACACTAATAGTAATACGAATTGAATTAGTTATATAAGGCGACGTGACGCTACGCTATATAATTCTTATAAATCCGTAATTTAATAAAGAATGTTGTATTTCATTTTTAAAAAAAAATATAATAAGACTTATTACCAAAACGTATATTTTTAATTAATGTTCGTGAGGGTAACGTGTTTAATCCAATTCTTGGAGGAGACAAGTGAAACTTTGATTTTTGAATTTTTCTAATATTTTCTATATTTTCAATCTTAATCTTATTTCAAATTGATTAAACCATAATTTTCACGGTTCGCAAACTTTCGACTTTTTGAAACATGTACACGAGCAAAGCAGTTGAAAACATCCAATGAAATAGGAATGTGGGAATGATAAATTTTGTTATAGCAAAGCTACAGCTGGATATCCTAACACCGCTTCTAAGACGTGCAAGTAAATAATAATAGTAGAAAATAAATAAATAGTAAAAAATGCTTTTAATGACTTCTACAAGTTCAAAGCGTCTATCATTAATGTTTGGCTCCATCATAATAATCTTATTGAAGCAATTATTCTATTATATAGTGATGCGACTATTAATATTTCATTAAGAATTAAAAAAAAATATAAAAAATTTGAATTATAATTTCAAATAATTCATTCATATACTGCATCATATTACTATTGTATTGCTACTATTAGTTATTGCGCTGTTTTGTATTTTATATGGAACATAGAATTGTACAAGACGGTTATTTTTTTCATTTGTTTGCACAAGATCGAATCAATTTAAATAAATAAATTCGAATTCTTTTCTTTTTTATATCGGGGCGATGATTTTTTAAATTAACCAGAACGGATCGTGTTAACCGGGAATTGAACCGAAACTAGATTAACCAACAAGGATTTTAAATCAAACTTAGGTCCGTCTATAGTTGCTTGGCAAAACTTTCTGTTCATTGGCAAAATTATAATATAGTTTTGCCTTTTGACGGGATTTTATTATGGTTTCGAGTTTCGAATGTTTGCCAATAAGATTTTATTAAATTCATATTAAAAAATCCGTCGAAATTTAGGGTTTCAACTTTGCGATTTGCTAAAATGAGTTTTGACATGCAACTATAGAACCAACCTTAATTAAACCTTAATTTATGCTATAAAGATAAAGGACCGGTCCGGTCCGGTCCTCAGAATATGGACCGAGGACTAACGAATGGGATCGATTTTGATATTTAGAATCGGATTTAATCGCGATTATCGTTTCTCAAGGTTGGACTCTAAGAATCGATTTTCGATTTTCGATTCGATTAATCGAATATGGGAAGTTTGCTAGGAAAATTAGGCTCTGAGAATTTTTTGACAAATTTTTAATTTTTATTACATTTTAGTATTGAATGTTATATAATAAGAGGAATCTATGGAAATAAAATTTAACTTTGTGCTAGTCTTTATCGTAAGATTAAGGAGTACGTTAAATTAACTTTATTATTGATTATTTTAATAATAAATCAAGCTAATGAACAATAACGGCAAGTAATTCATTTCGATTCCAAATCAAAAAATTACAAATAAAAAAATTATTTTTTTTTTTTTGAAATTCCTCGTGGTCCTGTACCGACACGGTATTGCATGAGTTAATTTCCTTTTTTCCAAACCGGAGTATTTGTTCCTTAGGATCATTATTCGAAGTTGATGACGAGGCTACAGTAAGAATTGTTATAAATAATATTCTTGTCTCAAAGATTTAATTCAGAATTCGAATTAGGCAATTCACCTTGTTATTATCCTTCGTTCAAGTTCATCAAATAATAAATTCACGGAAGTTTCGAGTTTTTGATAAATAAATTTATATTATAAATTCGTTCACATAAAGTATGCAAATGAATAAACAATAACTTTACTTTTTCTAAACCAACCTTGTTCGGTCAGAACGAATTGAATGTTTCAAAGAATCTTTTTAGAGATATTCCTAAGTGTTGATCTATGCCAAACAAAAGTTTATGTCATAATTACAAATAGTGTTGTGAGACGTCATAAAGCATAATAATGGATGGATAAAAGAAAAGCTTTATTCAGACAATCAAATATATATATATATATATATATATATTCGGAATAGACGTCCAAACTTATGTCGTGTTTTTAATATACAAACGTGGACCTTTCTACGACTTTTTTATAAATAGAATGTCCTTTCTTTCTGCTTTTCTAAGTTTTAGCTTGGTCGATATAATTAAAGATGATTGATAAAAAAAAAAGCTTTAATACTATATTTGCAACGGCTTCACTTACTAGATAAAAGTGTATCAAAGGAGCATAATGGAGATATAAATTACTTGTCAAAGCTCTAAATAAGCTTAAATTGTGTTATACACTAAAGATCAAGTAAGCGATATCGTTCTTGAGGCAATCAAATTGATTTAAATATTTTTGAAGTACCATGCGATAATGCCAATTTGGAGTAGTAAGAAATTGCATTCTCACATAGCGAGGGTCCTGTGGCTGACAGAAGTGTCAAACTTTTATGATTTTCACATTTCATTCTCCCTTTAAAAGTTTACTTCGTTATATTTTATGTTAATTCAATGAATATAAATAATATTTCGTCAATTTGACATCAATTGTTATATATATTTTGTTTTGTTTATTTATTTATTTGAAAAATATGAAAAATAAATATCAAAATTTCGCATTATAAGCAATACAAACATTCTTTTGAATAAAAATCATCATTTATAATATTTGTGCATGGATTTTGATAAAAGAAAGATAGCAATCATTGGTCAAAGTCTTTGATCAAATTTTAAAGAAAAGCACTCCCTTTCGAAATAAACGTTTAGTTCTGCATCATATGTTCTCATAAACTCCATTCCTAGAACATTTATTTCACTGAAGTGCGATTTTGTTGGTGACATAATAACCGGAATATTTCTACTATGAATTCGTGCAAAAATTTTTTGACTTGGTTCGGTAGAAGACACACCAAATGAATTTAATACATCCTCGCAGATATAGGTTATCGGAGACCCAGTATCTACGAGAAAGTGTACAAGTTTATAGCATAGTAATTAGTTAGCCGTGACGAAAGAAATTTTGTATAAATAGATAGATTTTTTACTTATGTTGTAAATTAACTCATTTGCAGATTTGTAAACTCTTTTGTGAATACGAGTTTCAATATTAATAAAGGAATCAATTTAAAACTTATATCTTTC